ATATATATATATATAACAAACAGTTTTTTCACAATTTGCTCTGGTTCATTCTTATCAGATGAAGACTGTCTACTAGGTCTTTGACCAGAGCATGTGTGATCTTTAATTTGTCTTGTCCTCCTGCTACAGCTTAACCATTCACAATGCTTTTTGTTGGATTATAATGTTCTAGTGTTGGCCCTTCTGTCTTGATTCTCTAGAGCAGAAAAAGTTCCTTGATTTATAGATACCCCGTTTTAAAGTTATTAAATTGGCTAAATCCTCGTTTCACATCCTGGCGTTCATGGAGAAATTGTCAACATAATGTTCGCTAGAGGTAGAATATTTCTTAAATGCTCTGCATCCTCGTGAACCAAGATGTTTCTACGTGCACCTTTTACAGGTCTGTTGATATTTCTAGTGATGTTCAACCATTCTTACAAAGCACATTCCTTTTATTCTTCTGATAAAAGTGGGCAATATAGCCTTAATATCTCAATTCTTCATCCCTGTAGCTTCTGAACTCTTCAAGACTATCATTTTTACTTGGTCAAAATTAAATATGTTGGACAGAGTGGTTCTCCTCCAAGGTGCTTTGCAAATATCTTTTTCCAGATACAACACTTTGACAACAACAGCTAATCAATGTCAGCATTTATTTGCTCTTTTGTGTCTTCTTTCTCCAAGTATATTAATTTCCACCTCTCTAAATTCACTATTTTCACTTTCACTCAGAATAGTTCTACAAAATTTTGCCTTGCCACCTCCTTATGTTGACAAACTCTTCCTTCAGTTCATTCACCCTCTTTCCTACTTTGGAAATCGGACTTTTCTTCTGTTTACTAAGGACCAAAATTTCAGAAAGTAAACTTATCCAGTCTATTGTAAAGTGAAAGAAGTTAAAAAAAATATCTGTTTTCAAATAACTTATGTAGCCTCTTGCTTTTTGTGCATTGTCATCTTTACCTGTGGTAGTGATGTCCTACAGATGTACAAGTGTTAACTTGTAGTTATCAATGAGAGCTTTCCATGCTCTGTTCTGGATTGCTACCCACCATACTTGTTGAACCCCACCATACTTCTTTAATTCCTAAAGTTCTATCTTGTGTTTTGGTGAGTAATAAGACAGCTTGAATATGCCTTTCAAGACATCTTTAAAGTCATCTAGATACCCATAGCCTTTTTTTAGCATCACACACTGCTAGCTCTAAATTGGGTACAATGCAATGAACTACTGCAATATGACTGTCACATTTATTTTATTCTTAAAGTTCATTTACTAGGTCCACAGGTAATGTTACAACACCCGACATTTTTCAAAGATACACAGTTGTCCCATTTATTCCAACAGGACTTTCTGGTGTAATTCCCTCAGATTCAAGCCACTTCAAACTCCCTGTTGTACTCCTGCTGCATGCCCACAAGTTTATTTTTTTCATATTTCAAAACCTCTACAGTGCTTACACAAATTTTTATTTGCCTTGTTGTTCAAGTAGTTCATCCCTACTTCTACTTTGTAATAAACTTCCTAAATCATTCATATTCTGTAAGCAAGCTGTGTTAAACAATTTGTCATATACAACACTTATTTTTCACCCAGCCTCTTCATACTTCTTGTAAACTGTGTTTCATTGGGTTTGTCTAAAACATTTCTGCTTTCAATATGTTTGATGCATTTGTCATCCTTATTGTGATATTTCAGTTTTTTTTCCTGTATTTTACACTAATACCTTTAATTAGGGTCAAGTCCCTGATCAACTGATCACTCTCAACTTTCAAAGGAAATTCTTCTAACCATCTTTCTTATATTCTTATTAAACATTTTATGGCTAAGTTTTCTTTTTTCTACGTTGGTCCTTTCACTGTGTCTTTCTGTTTACTATAACCACAACCATGAAAATATTTTGTCCAACAGACAACATCACACTAAAGACACTTCATTTACCATACAAAATAACCAATAACTACAACCAGTCTTATAGTTTGCTTACACAGATTATATTAATGCATACGGTGCTGCCTATAGCAGCAGCTTGCTCACAAAGTAATAGAGTCTGGTTTCATTTTGAAACAACATATCATAATTATCTAGCTTTTTCTTAAATCACAGTTTAACATTTTTTACATTTCCTGTCTACTATGTTTACTTGAGCACATATTCTTACATTCAATTGGTATATTTCTTCTGAAACAAACATTCGTTCTATTGGATAAAAAAATCACTTGTACAAATGAGAAGATGATGGAACTTTTAGACTCGCAAACAAATAGCTGGAACAACATCGACAATATCAAAGAAATCAAAAGTTGGCATATGAATTCACAGTTACATTTCTGGATAATTACATGGATGCAAAGGATTACACTTTTCTTCGTGGATAACCTCAACAGACCAAATAAACTATAAACTTCTATAAACTAATATTTTACTTAATTACCATCACTCAAAGTTGAAGCACTAAATTTTTGTTTGGTTTATCGTAAAGGGTTATGAAGAACAGGTACTTTTACCCTACATATTAAAAAAAAGAAATATATTAAAGGTAAGAAATACCAAATTAAATATTTGTTACTTCTGTTACCATCACATAAGTAAACAGACCACTTGAATTTATAAACTGAACAAAAACTACAGAGATGACTGATTAGGGTAGTAGCAACTATCAGCATTAGCTACACATAGCATGCCTTTTAGTAGCACTAAATTATATATTATACTTTATGTTTTAGTTAAATGACAGAAGGCTACAGTATAAAACTATAATACTGTATTAGTAACACTATTACTATTTTTGTAACATCACACAAAACTTTTACCCTAATAGTAATACTAGTAATAGTATTAAATTGTTCACTCAAATCACTAAATTATGAATAGTATAAATTTAAAGCCGAATAAAAAATTTAAAACAATGAAATATAAAACTAGTTGAACTTAAAGGCATTTTCTTCATTTAGCAATTGTAACTTCTTGATATATATATATATATAAATTACAAGTTTTTAACAATAACAATAAGTTAATTCACGTTGGTTAGGCTAGAAGTAGAAACTGCAGTGTTACTACGATTAAAAATACTAGTACTAGTACTATCGTTACACAAACTGACAAAGCTAAGTTAAGGTTACACTAAAACTACTTCAAAATTAACAGATTAGAACTAATAGTAATAATAGAATACATTAACTATGTTTGTGAGTTTTTAAATATTGTAAAATATGTTATTATTGATATTATTCTAACATAACCATTACCAGAAGTATTTCAATTTCTATGACGCTCTACAAAGCCCTCATTACCGGTTAAAAACGGCGTGTTACCGACAGTCGGGTTGCTTTTTCAAGTGTTTGAGAAAATTATTTTATGAAAAACGGAATATTTGTTTTAATTATGTTGTATACGAATAAAACTGGAAATAAAGTTAACTAATTAGAGCAATTAAAGCATAATTATTCTGCTGAAATGAAATAATCATAAAATTGTTAAGAAAATATAAAACTTTATTATAGTGTCTAATACTATTTATGTACTTCTTTAAATAGGGATGACTGATTTATATGCTTACAATATAAGAAAAAATACACGATTTTCTTAAAATAATTGTTATGTATATATTTATTATTAAAACAACGAGTTTACAACTACAATATTTCTCTGATTAATATTATCAAATAATCGGCTGTTGTATAGAATATTCTATTAACTGTAACATACATAAAAATCCAAGAGATTTGCGGTAACAAAACTTTTTACTCCTTTAACTAATTAGTAATTTTTTCCCCCTAAACGTTCCTATATTGATATTAAACGATACGAACATACGTGCCCTCATTGGCACAGCGATATGTCCGCGGACTTACAACGCTAGAATCCGGGTTTCGATACCCGTGGTGGGCAGAGCCCAGAATAGCCCATTGTGTAGCTTTGTGCTTAATTACAAACAAACAAAGGTTACATAAAGTATCTAAAACAGTTGTTTATTAAATCATATATATGTTTGCTTAATCTACACATTTTGAATCAGATTTTATTATTTTCATGTTATAGATTATTCAAAGCAAAACTTACTATTAAAATTACTATAAACTCTACTTTATTTTTAGTTATGATTTTGTTTATCGTTTATGCATATTTCATTCTATCGTTTGGTGTAACGATATTTTTATTCACCGTTAAACGCTAGCCCACCTATCTTCTAACGATAATTAAAATTAAGGTGGTCGCGAATTTTAATTCCCAGATATGAGGGCTTTATAAAGTCCGGTCGATCCCACTATTCGTTGGTCAAAGATTAGCCCAATAGTTGGCGGTGAGTGATGATGACGAACTGCCTTCTTTCTGGTCTTTCACTGCTAAATTAGGGACGGCTAGCGCAGATAGCCCTCTTGTAGCTTTGCTCGAATTTCCAAACAAGCGAAACCAAATTTATATTAAGGCACCGACACGAGGTTCCCCAGTAGTGGTGTATGGATATTAAGTTCATGATTAATTATATAAAATAATGTTAAATAATTAGTCACATGACATGTAATCTCCTAGGTTGACAAGACAATAAAAAACAAGAAGGTTGAGATTTGGTTGTGAGTTGAGTTGGATTGTTGGTGAGGTTGAATAAGGTTGTTCTTATTACCTCTGCCACCGAAGGTGGCCGGAGGTTATGCTTTCACCCTTGTATTTGTTTGTTTGTGTGTTTGACAGCAAGATTTCTCGAAAACAACTGAATGGATTTGGACGAAAGTTGGTATACAATTGGACTATGATCCAACTTCGAAGTGATTAGTTTTGAAGGTTCAAGATCTTAGCAAGGCCACGAAAATTTAAAAAAAAAATCCCTATCTGTTAACATGGGGACCAATTTTTCCCATTATTTTTGCTGTATAGCTCAGCCAAAAATGATCGGATTTTGGATGAAACTTGGTGGACATATGCAGAATATTATTCCTCATTGTCCCGCCGAAAATTGTCTGTGTTGATAACGACGGACACATTTTCGTATATTCGAGAGCCGAATGTGATCAACGCTGCGTGGCGGAGGTATGTACTATTCTAGTGTTCCTCTGGTTCTGTAGGTTTTTCCCATTGTTCAGTTGGTCTCAAAGAAAGAGAAAAAAAGAGGTTGAAAGCTTACAAGCTTAGGAAATTTTTTCTTTTATGGAGGTTCAACTTCTACTTGATCTTTTCCTCCTCAACCAATACTGGTTTTAGATGTTCTGAAACGTCTGGCCGATATACAATAGACTGCATTTAAGAGATTTTATAATTGTAACAGTTATACACAAATGTGACTTTATCTTTAAGTTTCGTTACGTTTGTTTGATGTTAAGCATAAAGTTTCACAATGGATTATTTGTGCTGTGCCCACCCCGGTTATCAAAATCTGGTTTTTAGTGTTATAAGCCTTGATTATCCTTAAGACTAACAGTAAAATGATTAAGTTTGACACGGGGAAAAAAGGTACTCGACAATTAATGTATTTCTTTAAAATATTACTTATATATATATATATAGATAGATAGATAGATAGATAGATATAGATATATATATAGAGAGATAAATCGTCTGACCGTTAACAAATTTGAACAAACATGTGAATTCAGTAAATCCTGCAGTAAAATTTACAATGGAAACCAAATACAAAAGTAGATTAAACTTTTTGGTATTTTAATTAAAAGAGAGAAAAAATGTAATTGTTACTGCAGTTTACAGAAAACCGTTTTCCAGTGTGCACCACATAAGTATATAGAGATTTAAATATCTGTTCAAATAAAGAAGAGTTGGTAGAATTACATACATGTTGCCATTGATAAAGGATTCAGTCATTGATATAATTTGTAGTTAGTTTTGTAGTAAATTACACAGTGCTCAAGCTAACCATTACTAATGTAGATACATTTGTCTGCTATATGTTGAATTTCCCCTTATATATATATATATACATGTTAATCGTCCATTACTTTTTACACCTTGTATGTCTGCGGACTTACAACGCTGGAAACCGTGTTTCGATAGCCATGGTGGCCGGAGCACAGATAGCTCATTGTGCAGCTTTGTGTTTAATTACAAACAAACAAATCATATAACTTTGGTCTAATGTATATTAGTCAGACATGAAGAAACTTAATGAAGACATCGGTTACAGTATATGTGTGTTTATTTCTATAGCAAAGTCACATCGGGCTAGCTGCTGTGGTAACCTAGGGAAATCGAACCCCTAATTTTGGCGTTGTAAATCCGTAGACTTACCACTTTCCCACCGGGGACCATCGGTTACAGAGAAACAGCAAATTAATCAATCGGCTTTAGCTGAACTTATGGCGAAAAACCTTCTTTGTTAATGTTAATTGTAATAAACGTTAAAGTGATGAAATATACTAGTAATAAATACAAACTAAATATAAAAATCCTTAGAAATACTTACTAACTCTAGATTAATTTTAAATAGAGATTCTGATCCAAGGGTGGCAAAAATTTATTACCGGAAATGTATTTTAAGAGAAAAAGATAAATACGTGTCAAAGTCTTTAATGTTAATTGTTGGGTCGAGAGGTACACGGATATATGGAAATATGCACAAACATCGGAATAGTGTTTCATTTCTGTCTCATTCCTGATGACGGTGGGTCTGTGACCCATCATTGAAGTATTTGAATAAGGTCGATAACTGAACAGTGTTTCAATTCTGTCTCATTCCTGATGACGGTGGGTCTGTGACCCATCATTGAAGTATTTGAATAAGGTCGATAACTGAACAGTGTTTCATTTCTGTCTCATTCCTGATGACGGTGGGTCTGTGACCCGTCATTGAAGTATTTGAATAAGGTCGATAACTTAGATAAAGTTGTTTAATGTTGTATGACTTTAAACTTGGGCCACCTAGTTTTTATTAGTATTTTACACGCAACTGTTTTTAGCTTGACATTAATTAATTTATATATTTCTTACTTAGTTTCTCAGAAACACTTCAGTTTTATTCAAACTATGTTTAGCACTTCTTCAACATGCTTCATTGCGTATCTGTTTGGGAGCCATGCACTGCTATACATATTCTGGTTAATGAGGCTTCTATGAACCTTCATAGGCGATAACATTCTGGGAAATATGATATTAAATTGGTCCAATGTGCTACGTGTAATATACAGGCGTTTCGTCATAACTTCACTTATCTTTTCAACTATAAGCGGTAGAATTTACCATGGTTTTGATATGCAAGCGTGTCATACGTTTTTCCCTGCTTTTGGTAATATAGGCATTGTTAAAATTTTTCGTTATCCAGCTTATATGCAGTTTGAACATAAGCACATGGTTCAGAAAATCATTGAAGTTGCCTTGTTCTAGTTGCTTTGTTATCTATAGCAAGTAATATCTATCCTGCCTAGGAAATGTTGTGGTCTACTATGATTAGCTATTACAGTCAACAGCTGCAACATTCTTTGCTGGCCGAGTAGATAGTGTCTATGTGTTATAGTCAACAAATGCTACGAGAGAATTACGGTCAAGTGGTGATACTAGAGATTTAACTTCAATATGTCACTATTATCCAGACGACTTTCACTTGGAAATCAAGCTGAAGCTTTCAAAGAAATAAACACCATGAAAGAACAAGGGGTGGTAGAGTTGAGTACTAGCCCTTGGGCATCACCTGTTGTACTTGTGAATAAGAAGAAGGATGAAGCCACAATGTTCTGTTTAGACTGTTAAAGACGAATGCAATCACAAAGAGTGGGTATTGGCAAGCGCAAGTCAGCGAGGCACGTAGAAAGAAGGCAGCCTTTACTGCAGAAAATGGATTGTAGCAAGTTGCTGCATTACCAGTTGGGTTATGTAATGTACCTGCTACATCTCAACAACTATGGAATGTGCTCTCTCTGAAATACCCTGTAACGTCATACTCAACTACTTGTATGGCATAATTAGTCATGAGAAGATCTTTGATAGAGCTTGTGATGGGCCAAGGAAAGTTTTAGATTGGTTGAGTAAATAGAACTTTAAGTTGAATCTTAACAATATCAATTGTTTCGTCAAAAGAATATCTAGAGGCCTATCTAAGACTGAATCTGTTCAGTATAGACTAACATCAAAACATTTGCGTGAGATAAGAGTATGTATTGAACTATGCTCTTACTATAATTGTTTTGTAGAATAACCTGCTGACATAGCTCGTCCTATTTACAGATTACTTGAAAAACTAAATAAGTTTTGTTGGACTACTGATTGAAAACAAGCATTCAACACACCGAAGAAAGAATTGACCACTACTCTTGTATTAACATACTCAGCTCTTAAAAATCCATTCATCTTAGATACAGATGCAAGTGCTTTTGAGGT